TAAAATTCTTATATCTGCCGTGTTCAACGCACGGTCACGGTATTTCCAGGAAATGTAAGCAGATTTACGCATTATTGCCAGAAATTAGTTGGACGTATTTATGCTAGAAGGAAATATGATACACGCAATCCCTATGCACATAGTTCCTTTTAGCATATATATGTTCAATTGATCATTCGTATCTTCTTCTACGCTGAGAATAATGAGAACACGAATTAAACATCAAAATTTGCACTTTCAGTTAAAAATGTCATGTTGGACCTCTCCCATTGGCTCGATCCACCGTGCGCTACGATGGAGATACGCATTTTTCGACTTGAGCCATCGACGTGAAGAAAATAACGCTCAACTCAGATGCACGTAGGGAAACGTCCAGATCATAATACCAGGTGCACACTGAAAAAAAGATCCCGGTGTATTTACTAAGAAAATGGTAAAATTACCAAGAATTCAGGGTTCTATTTGATCCCAGTTTTTTCTTGGTAAAATTACCATTTATGGAATTGGTAATTTTACCGAGAAATCTCGGTAAAATTATTGAACTTTCTCGGTAATTTTACTGGGCCTTGGTAAAAACACCAATATTTTTTATCGACTGTGGTAGAATTCCCGAGATAAAATGGCATAGTTACCGGGAATTGATTACCAATAAAAGTGGCATTCTTACCTGAGAAAAACAGTAAAAATACCGGTTTTTAGGTAAACTTACCAGTCTGTCTTGGTAAAATTACCAATAATTGGTAAAAAACTGAGATGGTAAAGGTACCAACGGACCGTGGTAAAGGCACCGAGAATTTTTTTTTAGTGCATTGGCTCGATCCACACTGTGCGCTGCGATGGAGCTACGCATTTTTCGACTTGAGCCATCGACGTGAAGAAAATACCGCTGAGCTCGGATGCAAGTAGGGAAACGTCCAGATCATAATGCCAGGTGCACGGAACTGACAACTGCGGTACTCTGCATCGGCGTCTGTAAATGCTCCGAAGACCGTTGGATCGTAATATTTGACAGGGTGTATTTTGATGCAAAATCATGCCGCGAGCCGACTTCGGAAACCCGCGCTACGTCATAATGGGCGCATCACGTCATAAATCCCTGTAAAGAGGCGTAGCGCGGTGCACCACCGCTTAAACAAACTGCTGTTTATCATTCCTTAATCATCACAAACGAGGGGGGAGTCACATGCAGACCCGCGCCGCTCCACTATCGTTCTAGGGATAAACACCGTATCAACATTAAGACGTTGCCAAACTTCCGAGAAAAATATCCAGTTCAGGGCCGGATTAACATTTTTAGCGCCCTAGGCTAAACTGAGGGTGGCGCCCTTAGAAGTAGGCGTTCTCGGGGGGTAGGGGGTCCCCCAGACGCCCCTCCCCTCCAGATCAGAAGGAGGATGTTAGGTGGCAGGAAAATGTTCAAATTCACCTTTAAAAAACACGATTTTAAACAGTTTTGAGGTACGTTTACGTTTGCAAGTTGGTTTTGAAAAATAAAAAGTAACGAAAGACTTGTTAAATTAAAAAAAAAAAAAAATAAATTCTCAATAGTTTTGCGCCCCTCAGAATATTGCGCCCTAGGCTGCAGACTATGTAGCCTATTGGTAAATCCGGCCCTGATCCAGTTCCGATGCATGAAGACAACTCAAAAATCTTGATGCTTTGTCATAAATTAACGAAATTAATGTTTTGAAAATATTATATAGATTAGTTAAAATCTTTGATTTTCTTTTAAACTTTAAAGTCTAATAAATTTTGATGGGACATGAAATAAAGAAAATGAATGTTGTGATGGGTAAAGTTTGGGCTCAATTAAACGTCATTAATTTATCGTACCAAAATCGTGGTATCTGGTATAGTCGTAAGAGTTCAAAGTTCCTATGAAAATTTTTCTTAGAAATTCTGAGATAATTTCGACTAAATTTTGATTGAAAGTCCGTGAAAAGTGCATGGAGAGATGCACATGAGATCCGAAGAAATTTGATTTTTAGCGGCAGTAAATTGGCAACACATGAATGTCCATACGGCATTCTTTCTTAGCAAGGCAGTGTACCTCCCATCCCACCGGAGACTCAAGATTTTATGACAAAAACAGGTAGTACGAGCACTATTTTACTTCTCTTGTTTCATCCGTTTGTTTAACAGGGTCAATTGCACGCTGAGGCCTTGAACCCTGGCGTAAACTCTTATGGCATATTTCGCTGTCGGCCAAAAGCTTGCGTTTAAGTAAGAATTAGTTGCATTCCCCAGGAATGTACCGGAAGTCAAGGTATGAATTAGAGAATCACTTCACGTAGTATTGCTCTGAAATTTCACGTAGAAAACGACCGTGTGCACAGGGACAGATTTGAAAAGTAATGCCTAGCCGAGGTATATTCACAGTTTAAATTGATCAGTTTTAATCAATATCCTCCAATCAGTTTTTTTTTTTAAACTAAATCAAGATATTTAAGTTTTCAACTTAAGAGAACTTTGCTTGACTCCTTCATAATCCACCAAACTACTCCTTACATTGAATAATTTCTTTCCATGGGTCGTGTCTTGACTAGAAAAGTAAGTAAAAGAACGCCTCGAAACTTTTGTTGAATTTCCCTCGGACTTTAAGGAATTCATGCACAAAATTTCGAGGCAGAATGTTGGATGGTTTCCTCAAAAAAAATTTAGAACGAGAGAGGAAATTAATGCACGGTATGAAAAGGAATGGACTTAACTGCATCAAGTTGTTGCCAAATTTGCATTAATGTTTAATTTTTTGAATAAAAAACTTGAGAATACTTTAAATTGAAGTTTAGTGAGTACCTAAGTGTACCCTTCTTAATCCAGGGATTTACAGGTAGTTTAAAGGTACTAAGTAGCTTCGTTCTCTGTTAGAAAAAGAAAACATGAGAGAAAATTAGGGGCAGCGTTAAATGAGGGGTTTGGAGGAAAAGACGCAAAAATACAGTTTCTGAAAAAAATTGAGGCGCTAGTAGTTTCTACTAAGGCTGATCTTAAAATATAGTCTGTGAAAAATTCACTAGTAAAATCCAATTTTTAAACATCAACATATGAGTTTGAACTTTCTTTCAAGGCTCCAAGTAAAATTTAAAATTTAAACGCGTATTTCTTAAAATAGCAAAATTGCACTTATGCGCTTCACTCTCCAGCCCCTCAAATGCAGTTAAGCTGATTCCGCTTAAATCCGTCCAATTAATGATACTCACTACGGGCTGATTATATTGAAATTGATAGACAAAGCTATAGACAACGACGAAAAAAGTTGTATAGAAGGACCCTATTGGTGGAAGCGGGTGGTTGCGATAGACAAGGGAGGTAAGTAATAAACAAACTAACGGCAGCTCACGAGAGACCCTATGGTTAGTCAATCAATTCCTTCCTCAGTCTATAGTAGCCGCCCACTTCAACCAATAGGACCGCTGCATACTTCCTGTGTTTTCTCTATCTATCGCTCTGTCTATCAATTTAAATAATCAGCTCGCTGGATGGAGAAAAAACGAAGGTTTTCGGTGAATATTGGCGGCGGCGGCGGGAAGGGTTAGGGGAGGATAAAACAGAGCCGCCTAAAAACAAATCAGCGGAACTAATCGAAATTGAGCCCGTATTCGATCATTAAGGCAGCTGAATGCGGTTGGTATCTCTTCTTTCTCGCCGGAGAAGTTGAAAAAAAATCATATCAATAGGTCGTTCCACTCCTCGCCGGCTCACAAGTCTTCCTGACTCGGATTGGTCTTATTCTACCGTGTTGAGGATAAACGCCGTATAGACACTCGAGTGTTGCCAAGTTTTCTCTCGGAATATATTTATTTTTGCGGAAAGACATGAATATTTTTCTTTGAAATTTTCAGACTCTTTAGATCAGATTATGAGCAAAATTCTCTGAAAAATTGGCAGAAAAGTGTGTACCAATTTTCCCGTTAATTCGTGAATTCTCCGAGGAAATTTTGCAACGTCTGGAGGCTGATACGGTGTTTTCCCTTAGCCCGGCAGTATTGCGGTCAGGTGCAAGGGAGATGTGGGTGGCTCCTTTCAGAAGTTATACGCGTCCAGATTACAATACTGCCGTGTTAAGGAAGAACGCCGCATAAGCCTCCAGACGTTGCCAAATTTCCTTCCACAAAAACCGAATTCACTAGGAAAATTATCAATATTATTTTCCAAAATTTTCAGACAATTATGTACGCAATTTGGTCTAAAATATCTGAAAATTTCAAGAGAAAATATACTTAAATTGCGTCAAAAATACATGTTTTATCAAGGGAAATTTGACAACTCTTGAATGTTCATACGGCGTTTTCCCGTAGCACGGCAGAATACGATTCTAGAGTTTTTGAGCAGCACGGGACTCACGTGAGCTTTGTTTCAAATGCATCATTCCAGGTTCGAAACAATGATTACGCTCGAAGAAACCAAAGCTAATCTCGTATAATCTTTACGAAACTCGTGATCATTTTCTATTCGCAATAAATGCATGTTCATTATGGTCTAAGTAGATAGTCAGCATAAAAATTTGTCACCAGTTAACAATTTGTGACTTTTATTGGAGAAAAAGGGCTTACAAAGCACATTGTTTTACATTTTAACGCAGAAAACGTCTAAAAATGTCCAACTGGACTGGAGCAATGTTTGATTGAAATTTTCTGCTCTCAAAATATAAATGGCTCGGAAAAAATCTTTCATGATCGGGGCTTCAAAGATTTCGATTTAAAATCTTACTGGAACTTTTGTTCCACACAAATCAAAATTAAGGATGCAATGATACCCATGCAATATAACTGTTTTTGCCCATTATTTTAGATGAAGGCAAACTACACGTTGTTATATACAGATTTGAAATCTTATTTCATTAAACCAAGCATTATTTGTTGACCCTTGCAATGCTGCGATGGTCACTTAAACCCATTTCCCTTGGGTCGACATAGTCAACGACCGGTCAATATCTTGATTCTGCTGTAGAAGGAATTGGTGTTTCTGTTACCATTAAGTCATAAAGTGTAGATGCTTACCCGAAGGGTCAAAGACCTCGGCGTCAGGGTTAATCTCTACGCCTGGAGGGGGTTGAGCCATGTCGGGGGCGCCGCCATTGGAGGACGGTGTCAGGAAGAAGAAGGGTAAGTAAGAGTTGTACGAGGGGTTGCTATCCGTGTTCACATAGTACACTTGACCTGGCTGCCCATTGTGCACAATTGAAACGCCCCAACTTGCTTGTCCATTCGCTGCTAACGCGTTGGCCAGCAGCGCCTGAAAAATTCAGGTTCGGAAGATTACTAAAAGCATTATAACGCGTATGTAGAGGTTAGATGAACTACATTTTGCAGTTAGGAACTAGAATTCCAGGTTCATCCATAGAAACAATTATCTGCACAGAGAAACTCATAGCACATATACTGTTTCGAACATGAGCCAGAAATTGTAGGTAGTTCCTAATTGCAAAATGCGCAATCGAAATTTAAAATTGTATCTGCCATCAACAGGCCGTGTTTGTTTAATTTTAACCTAGAAGTACAAATATCAAATTCTGAGGAAATTTTCAATTTGCGAACAATTATGTCTCGGATATCAGATCTTTGAGAAGTTATTGTAATCTGTGAGAGATTTCATTGATTGATGAAGCGCACCAATGAAACTCAATAATGTACTTTCATTAAGCACTGTTTTCTTTTAACTTTCTTTTAATGTCGCAACTGATTGTCGAAACTTTTCTTTTAATGTCACAGTACGTAAAATTCTGAGGTATTGATCAAACAGAGGCAATCTAAACATTAGAAAGACGGCAAGGTGAGAAAACACGATGAAATAATCCTGTTATTCACCACGTGACAAAGACTATTTTGGAGACTTGAACGCAAGGATAGAAAAAAGTTCTATGAGCCAATAGCGCAGAACAATGAAAGTTCTTTTTCAGATAAAGTTCTCTCGCGTTAGTTGAACTGTAATTTAGCTTGTTACTTCAGCGTTTTACATTAAAAAAGGATAAATTCATATGCGAAGGGCTATTAGTCCTGAATAGAAATGAAAACCACGATATTTTTAAAAGTAAAAACCAAACAGAAAATTTTCAAATGTCTCGATTAGGTTCGATGATTCAAAGAAAAAACCCGCTTTGCTGCACCAAAAGTAACAAGTCACTTGTATGCAATTCTACCATAACTACTTAATCACAGTTGAACGAACTAATGATTTCTTTATCAGATGATTGTCAATGCTTAAGTAAACTCAAGTATACTTTATCACACTCGTTTTCATTTGGAGTTATATTTATTTAATTAATTTTTTATTTTCAAAATACTGTGGGGACAGGAACTTTTTATTACTATTATTTTATCGTTTTAAAGTACTTAAAGTGTAAAATTATTCCTGGAAGTAAATCGGTGAGAAATCCCAAACAGATACTTTCAGGGAGGCTGAAAATTTATCCCACAGTAAATGAGGCATTTAAATGAGATTAAAAAGGCTGACACTATAACAGCCGTTCTGTAAGTGATATATGACACGAATTTCATGTGAAATTTGCGATTTTTTAGAGCTTAAAGCCAATGATAACTACACTTCAGCTTTGCATTTATTAAAACACGAGGACAACTTATTATCAACAAAGCAACACTCCCAACACATCCGTCTGTCTATAAAATGAATTTGAACTTTGTTGTTTAAGGTGCAGTGTAACGTTATAGAAACTAATTTTATTTCTTTCTCGTGAAACAAAATTTTATATTTTATATTTAAGCACGAAAACGAGTAAAAAAATATCCTGTTTCGCTTATCACTGCACTGTAAATAAACAAACAGTTGATCTACACTCATATCATAATTTAAAATTCGCCCTTTTTCTACACCTTCGTTAAAGTCTCTGGAAAATTTCGGCTAATCTTAGTCTAAAAAAGATAGTATGTTCTAACAACTGTCATGAGCAAACCCTCGCTGGATGCCAAGCGTTTTGACTTTCCGCGTAGTTTGGAATTCGCCACTTTCTTAGACTTTCGTTAAAGTATCCAGTTAATTTTGGCTCATGTTGATACCATACAGCATCAATTCTGTAAATTTGGATGCTGAATTATGTTTCTATGCATGATCACTTGCCAGGCTTCCTTTTATATGTTTCAAAGAGACGTTCATGCTTTAATGGCAATACTTTCTCGTGAAACAAAATTGACTTGGTCCAAGTCAGACCATTTTCTCGTCATTTGGTACATGCAAATATTTTTTGTCACTAATTTTAAGAAATTCCATTAGCAAAGATTAGTTTCCTTTCCTTTCGTAATTTTATGATTTCACGGAATTCACACACATATTTAAGCGCGAAAATGAGTAAAAAAATATCCTGGTTCGCTTATCACTGCACTGTAAATAAACAAACAGTTCGTCTACACTCGTAGGTATCACTTCCCGAAAACAACAACACCGAGTCACACAAGAACACCCCGTTAATCCGGCCCGGAGGACCGAAAAAAAAACCGACGAACGGCGAAGAGCGGTGCGAAAAAAATACTTACGACAAGTACGAGCGGCGTCATACCGACGAAAAACCACTTTGGGGGTAACACAGCGATGATATGATAGCGTCGCGACTCAACTCATCAGTAACCAATAGAGCAGAACTAAACTTGGAAGACCTCAACCTTAGCAGTGGACCATCTCTAATTGGAGCCCCCTACCTTTTATACAGATACTATTGTAATTGCATTGTTTAGAGCTGAGGATGCTACTTCATCTGGACCGGGAGCTCCGGTGGTGGGGGGTCGCTATGTATTCCTCTATTTGTTTTCAATATCAACGACTCCGGTGAGCCCTGGCTCCCGCTTGAAGCCGTGATGGCGGGGGCTCGTTATGTAAGTGACAGTCAAGGTAAGTCCTGCCGCCGCCGATCCAAGATCTATGACTCCGGCGGTGGCGTTTACGTTTTGCATTCGTCGGGATTTATGAGAGCATGCGACTGCACTTGATCGCTGCACTTTGTCCGCGCTAAAGGGTTCGTCATCGATCCCGTTGCTTTTCCTGGTTTCACCGCCTTTCACGTTTCCCGCGGCGTCTTCATCTTTGTTTGCGCGCCGCTCCTCGGGTTTTTCTCGCGCTTGCTTTGTTTTTAACCATCGCTACGATACCGCGATTTTATGAAATTTTTTAACCCGATTTCTTTTTTACAATTTCATTTTTTTATTTTTTCCCAAATTTTAAACTTTGCACTGAAAAAAAAGTAGCTTGGATCAAGCATGACGATTCTTGAATTTGCCGCCAAGAAATTTTTTTTCTTGCTTTAAGCTGAATTTTTCTTGATACAAGAAAAATAATGCTTGGGTTAAGCAAGAAAGTAGCTTATATTAACCAGAAAAATTCTTGATTTAAGAAGAAATACTTCTTGGCGGCAAATTTAAGATTCTTTTTTTTTCCAGTGTGAGTTTTACTCCCGAAAATATTTATACTTGTATTTAGACTTCTTTTTGATAAAAACAAATTAAAAATTTGCTTTAAGTTTTTTTGAAATTTTTTTTTGAAAATGTTGTAGAGTTTCTTTTTTTTGAATAATCGATCGGATTTTATCAGAGGCAGCCCAACTACATCTGCCGTTACCTAATTTTGTTCCATTTTTCAACTTTTTACAAGAAAATCGAGCTGACTTCAAATTTTGTGAATAGAGATGAATAAATGGACGTATTTATGCGAAAAGGAGATATGTGGAAGTGGAAAGATGGGGTGTGCTCGTTAGTGGTCGGGCCGTAAGAATGAATGGGGAATATAAAGCGCCAGTGACGTCAGCGGTGAGTGCGGTGACGGTTTCGGGATCGGGATCGCCGTACGGCGTCTTTAACTCATGAGCCCTGTCCACAACGTTCTCTTGCCATGCCCGCGGCTCATGAGTTAGCATATTTTGGCGCTTAGCTCCTTTTGATTTAATGTCAAATCCCGCTTTTCAATTTTCTCAAAAGGAGCTATATCCACTTTTACATTGTTTCTTATGACCCAACTAACGAGCACACCCCATCTTTCCACTTGCACATATCTCCTTTTCGCATAAATACATCCAAATAGTTTCAAGGCGTAATATGCTCAGTTTTCTGCGAAAAAGTGAAATATGAGAAAAAATTTGGCAACGTGAAATATAGTTAGTGCAGATTTTAAAGTTTCGCCTTTTTTCAATTTTTAGTTACCAAAATTGAAACACACAAGCTGTCCAGAAGGATTCGAGGAGGCAGAGGGGAGGTAATCCAGGTCGTAATTTTATAGTCACTCTGTGTACGGTAGTTGGCACGAAGATATCTTAATGGAAGTAAACTTATGGATGCGCTGTGACAGACAAATTTGCATATATTAAGGTATCCGATGGTAATCACTGTAATTACCACATACAATAAACTATATGATATTCATGTTTTCTCTTTTCGCACAACATATAATGCGCACCAAAAGTGAGAAATAAATTAATCCATAGCAGTACCGACAGATTCTACAATGTAGTGGAGTGTCTGCTTCGTCACATTGTGAAAATGATAAGTATCATGGATGACGAAATTTATTGGCTATACTGCCGTGCTAAGGAAGAACGCCGTATGAACATTCGAGAGTTACCAAATTTCCCCGAATTAAATTAGGAATGTTATGCATATTTTTCCTTTTGAGCTTTCAGATATTTTATATAAAATCGCGTGCAAAATTGTGTGAACATTTCGGAAACAAATAATTAAAGAGGTAGGTCGCAGCAGAACGCAGCAAACTCAAAATATTTTTTTACGTTCTTGTGACAAACCGCTTTTATGGACATTACACACTTTGGGACTAGCACCCTCAAACATTCACAATTTTCCCGGTAAATCCGTATTTTGAAAAAGGAAATTTGGCAACGGCTGAGGGCTCATACGGCATTTTTCCTTCGCACGGCAGTACAGCACATGAAAAAGAACGGGATTCGATAGAAACAGAGAGTGCGGAGTTTTATAGAAAGGAATGAAGATGCTAACCAGACTCTGGCTGTCAGATCCAAGGTCAGACTCAGGATCTCCTTAGAAAGCTAAAGGAGGTTGTTTTTCTCCCCTTGTTTCCGAAAAATCCCTTCAATCTCGGGTGTCGGTGCATCAGCGCTGGGGGTCCATCTGGTGACCAAATGCACTCATCACAGAAAACAATGCAGCTCGCTGGATCGAAGACCACGTTCGAAATCGAGCCTTTTGTCTTCAAAAAGAAAAGGTTGCGGCGGATGAGCTGAGAGAGTGGCCCACGCGAGCACACAACAGTATTCGTCCTATTTTCTTCTTCTTTTTTTTCGAGAAAAAAGGGGAGGATATTTTGTCAAAATACATCCTTGTACACTGAAAAAAAATTCTCAGCGTTTTTACCACGGTCCGTTGGTACCTTTACCATCTCACTTTTTTTTTACCAATTATTGGTAATTTTTCCAAGACAGACTGGTAAGCTTACCTAAAAACCGGTTTTTTACTGTTTTTTTCAGGTAAGAATACCACTTTTATTGGTAATCAATTACCGGTAACTTTACCATTTTATCTCGGTAATTCTACCACAGTCGATAAAAAATATTGGCGTTTTTACCAAGGTCCAGTAAAATTACCGAGAAAATTCAATAATTTTACCGAGATTTCTCGGTAAAAAATGTAATTCCATAAAATGGTAATTCCATAAATGGTAATTTTACCAAGAAAATTTGGGATCAAACAGAACCCTGAATTCTTGATAATTTTACCCTTTTCTTAGTAAATACACTGAGATTTTTTTTCAGTGTAGCGATTTCATAGTGTCTCCTGATCAAATATTGTTTACGAGTATTAACGCTTTAATGCATACCGCTGCAGGAAAGCAACAAATAGTGTTTTTTTGGCTTTAGTCATGTATGTTCTTAAATTGCACTCAAGCAATAAATGGTTTTGGGAGGGGGGAGGGATTTGGAGTCTTATCTTGAAAGTTTTAAACAAATATAAAAATTTGCCCGCAGCTGTCTCTATAAGTGAAAAAATATTGTAAAAAGCAGATTGTATCTTTAAAATCGGCGATTTATTCATGAAATAAAGGGGTTTTTAACATAACCCACTACAGTGTGTTATGGCTCTCAAGAATACTAGTAAGAGAATTTATCAGAATCAAAATATGCAGTCAGAACTGATCGATCGGCTTTTAGTATCAAGTAGGTTCTGTAGGTCCACCTAAGTATCCAAAATTTGTCGCAGTGAGATTGGCAGCTGCATCTTAGGCGGAATCAGTGGCGTAGCGTGCTTCGATACATATCGATAATTCCATATTTGAAACTATGGTAAAATTGAGGTGTCCGTTGATAACACCCTGATAATCGATCGTTTTCCACAGGTTGAATTGGCAGATCAATCGATATATCGCAAAGCACGCCACGCCACTGATAGCCAAAGTGAAAAACCACGTATCTCCGTTTGCGACGTTACAGACGTCCTTTTACACTTCATTATTTCTTCAAAAAACTAGCTAACGTAATTTCTCGACAATTTTCTTGATTTTTACATTTTATGAACAGGATGCTCTGTGTAAATTTCAAGCACTAAAGTCGGCTCGTTTCTCTTTCAAAAAATACATAAAATAGGAGCGAACGTTTTGAAACACCGCAATGGAGATACGTGGTTTAGCACTTTAGCCATCAATACGGTTCTGTGAAGGAAGAGCAAGAAAGTGGTAAAACGGAGAAAAAAAAGAAAGAAGAGGCGGAGAAATAGAATGAGATTACTTAAAATCACATAAATACCCGACACATTCGATGTTTTCATCGCATCATTCACACATATCTTCCCCGTGCTACCACGGAAGAAAATGTGAAAACCGATTAACGGTAAATCGGAATTAGTTCCCTGGAATATAGGTAACGGGAACGGAAAAAGAGGGCAAGGAAATAGGTGTCCCTGGATCTGAAGCGTGATATGTTGTCGTCTTCTGGACGAAGGATCGTAACTCCACTCCGAGGTTGCAAAATTGATATAAAAAATTCAGTGTTCAACACGAATGTAACTGCGCAATTTTTGTTGAAAATTCATCTGATTTTCGCCTGAGATCAGAGGAAAAATCAGTGGAATTTGCAACTAGATATCCCAAGACTCTCCTGGTAAAAATGCAATTAGCACGTGGGAAAATTTGGCAGCGGTGAAATTTAGTAAGGTTCTTTCGTGAGGAAAACGACGATGTGTGGGTCCAGTTTTAAAGCATTGTCCGTGGCGCAAAGAGACGGGTGCATCTTCCGTCCCGCTGACAAGTTTCGCGGGGACCACCGGATTTCCACGCGCTCCGCTTTGACCCGTGAGAAATTCCCTCACCGTCCGACAACCACGAGACTTGAGGGCACGTAACCCAACTTTGTCACGGTGTCATACCGTAAAAACACCGAAACCAAGCTTATTAACCCTCCAATGTTGCGACGACGGGGAGTTAGAATTCTTGTTGGAATTGAGTGTCGTAGGTTTGTTCCACCAAATGATATGATGCAAATTACCATCAATCATCAATCGGTCCGTGTTAAAAATTTTGAAGTAAAATTCTGTGTCCGACTCTCTATAGCGCCCAGAACCGCCGAGTGATATGAAATGCGAAGCCGAATCTATTATTCTTAGGCCTTGTCTCCACGGGACGTTTTCATGCATGGGATTTGTCCCAAGTTCGAATCGCAGGAATGAAACTTCTGGGATTTTCCCCAGTTAC